TGGCAGGATCTTGGCTCACTTCAGCCTTGGCCTCCTGGGTCAAGTGATCCTCCCACCTCAGCCTCCCAAGTAGCTGGGACTACAGGTTCCAGCCACCATGCCTAGCTAATTAAAAAATTTTTTTAGAGACATAGTCTCGCTATGTTTCCTAGGCTGATCTCAAACTCCTGGCCACAAGGTGCTGGGATTACAGGCATGAGGTACACTGTTCTGCCCCCTTCGTGTTTAAAGCGATTCAAAAAGAAACACTTCCAAAAATTTATTGTTGATTAACAGGGTAATACGTACATATGGATGGGAGGACATTGTGTAGAGGAACTGTTGTGATTTATTCTAGGATATTATAAAATTCACTCGATTTCCTTGTGTCACATGGCACACAGCATAAGATTTTAGTCTTGCTCATACCAGACTGTCTTTAGCTGTGCTCTTCCATGTGTTAGCCACTAGTACATGTATAACCATTTAACATGGGATATAGCTTAGATGACTGAGGAAGTGAATTTTAATTTATTTGAATTTTAAGGTTATATTGTACAGTGTAACATACCATTTTGTGTCAATTTTCTCAAGGTTTGGAGAAAGATTTTTGATGTTTATGTAAAACCTGAGTACTGAGCAAAATATTTATAGAACACTTTGTTGCAAAAAGTTCTCAAGTTCTGCTCTAAACAACCACTGATCAGCTTGCTTTCTGCCTTTTTTTTTTTTTTTTTTTTTTTTTTCACTCATGAGTTTCACTCATGTTACCCAGGCTGGAGTGCAATGGCGCGTCGGCTCACCGCAACCTCCGCCTCCTGGGTTCAGGCAATTCTCTTGCCTCAGCCTCCTGAGTAGCTGGGATTACAGGCATGTGCCACTACGCCTGGCTAATTTTGTATTTTTAGTAGAGACGGGGTTTCTCCATGTTGGTCGGGCTGGTCTTGAACTCCTGACATCAGGTGATCCACCTGCCTCAGCCTCCCAAAATGCTGGGATTACAGACGTGAGCCACCGCGCCTGGCCTTCTTGATGCATAATTTTTTCTAGAAGTGGAGTGGTCTTTCTTTTTTCTTCTTTATTTTTGAGACGGAGTCTCAATATATCACCCAGGCTGGAGTGCAGTGGCGTTATTTCAGCTCACTGCAACCTCTGCATCCCAGGTTCAAGTGATTCTCCTGCCTCAGCCTCCCAAGTAGCTGGGATAACAGGCTTGTGCCACCACGCCTGGCTAATTTTTGTATTTTTAGTAGTGATGGGGTTTTGCCATGTTGGCCAGGCTGGTTGTGAACTCCTGACCTCAGGTGACCCGCCTGTGTCTCAGCTTCCCAAAGTGCTGGGATTACAGGTGTGAGCCACAGCTTTTTTCACTTAACATAATGCTTCTGAAGCTAACCCAAGAGCTTTTTTGCTCTCAGTGCATGTATGGATTTGTTTCTTTTTGAGCAATTCACATTTTAAGCTAATCTTTTTTATCCTGTATTCAAACAACTTTCATAAAGTTTTGGGAAGTGAAACTTAAAAGTTAGCATCAAATATTTAAACAAAACATGAGGTTGGGTGCTCATACCTATCACCGTAATGCTTTGGGAGGGTGAGGCAGGGTTATTTGAGTCCAGGAGTTGCAGACCAGCCTGGGCAACATGGCAGGGAAAAAACCTAGCTGGGTGCAGTGGTTCCTGCTTGTAGTCCCAGTTACTATAGAAGGCTGAGGTGGGAGGATCACCTGAGCCCGGGTAGGTCACGGCGATTGAGCCTCTGCACTTTAACCTGGACAACAGAGTGAGACCTCATCTCCCAAAAAAAAAAGTCACACAGAAAGTCTCAAGCAATCAATTAAAAATGAAAATTAGGGAAGATACTATACATAAATTTATTTCTATCTGGAATAAAGAAAGCTGCTCTGGGCATATCTGGCATACTGTGGAATGGAATGTGTTTGTACCCTATCACTCAGCTTCAACTGGCCCATGTTGTGTTATATCATCCCCTTGCCTTGTTTTTGAGATGGAGTTTTGCTCTTGTTGCCCAGGCTGGATGGCGCGATCTCCACTGACTGCAACCTTTGAGTCCAGGGTTCAAGTGATTCTCCCGCTTCAGTCTACCAAGTAGCTAGGATTACAGGCATGTGCCATCATGCCCAGCCTTTTTTTTTTTTTTTTTTTTGTATTTTCAGTAGAGGCAGAGTTTCACTATATTGGCCAGGCTAATGTCAAACTCCTGACCTGATGATTCACCCCGTTTGGCCTCCTAAAGTGCTGGGACTACAGGTGTGAGCCACCATGCCTGTCTTCTGGTACTGTTTTGAAGCAAGACCTAGACATTTAATTTCTGATTGTATCTATAAAATAGAAAGACTTAATTAATTTTGAGACAGGAGTGTTGCCCTTGTTGCTTAGTCTGGAGTGCAGTGGCGCCATCTCTGCTCACCGCAACCTCCTCCTGGGTTCAAGTGATTCTCCTGCCTCAGCCTCCTGAGTAGCTGGGATTACAGCATGTACCACACCACACCCGGCTAATATTTTTTTTTTTTTTTTTTTTTTTTTT